ATTTCTCCATCCAACGAATGTTTCTTAAGCACCTAAGAAATAACAGACCCCGTTCTAGGCACTGAGGCGCAGCCATGAATAACAGTGTTTTTGGCCCCGTGCAGCAGACCCAGTACCTTCCCAGCCCTCCGTATACCATCTCTCTGTCCATTCATCTCCCCATTCATCTGTCTGTCCATCCATTCAACCATTTATTACTCCCTCCCTCTCTCCCTTATTCACCCTTCCACCCCATTCACCTCCCACCCATCTCTCCCCTTATTCATCTGTTCAGCCATTACTTACTTTGTGCCAGGCCCTGATGAGGAACAAAATGTGGCCCTGGCCCACACAGAGCTCCCAGAATAATTGGAGAGGCAGGCAGGGAAATGAACAGTTACAATCTCATGTGGTCAGTACCAGGATGAGGGGGTACTAAAGGGAGCTGGGAAGGACTTCTAGGAGAAACAGCACTTTGCTCAAGCCTGGTTCAGTCACCTAGGTCAAGTAGTCTGGACTCTAATATCCCTGGCTACTCTGACTATACCTGGCCCTAAGGTTCGGGCAAAAGTGCCAGGCCATCAGCACTCACTGGTGCTTTATGCCTACAGGGTACCAACTGCTTGCCAGTCTGGGATAGACAGAGGGGGAGGCCACCAGTGACGTTACTTTGGTTATTTTTAAAAAAGATTTATTTATTTATGCAAGAACTGGCATACAGGCCAGAGGTACAGGGATGAGGGGATTCACCAGAGACAAAGTAGGGAGCAGAACAGGCAGATTGACTGAAATACACTGCTGAGGGGAGCAGCGGGCAAAACAGGAGAGGTCTGCTGTGCCATGTGGGTAGCTCTCTGGCCGGGATCCAACTCATGCTGCAGTGGCTGTGGATAGCTTCATAGTGCTGTGCTTAACCCCTTGTGCCACCAGGGAGGCCCTGGCCCTGATGTTACTTTTATAGAGCTGAGTAAAATCCTGAGACCCACAGAGGGAAGGGAACTGGTCCAAGACCAGAGTGTCCGCCAGGGAGTGAAGGGTTCTGGACAGAGTGGGCATGCAGGTGGGTAGGGCTAGGCTAGGGCCTTTATTCACAGTTGTAGGCTGCTTATTCTTCTCATGGGGGTGGTGCCCACCCCAGCTGCAGTAGTGGGAATCAGCTGCTGTGCCTGCCACCCCCCTCTCCCTTTCTTGCCTGAAGCCCAGCTGTGGTGATTTCTTAGCCAACCCCTCTCTATTACTTTCTCTCCTGCCAACAGTGACTCTTCATCCAGAAGCTTTGGGATGGGGCCCTCCCTGGGCCACCATGGCGTGTCAAAGTGCCCTATAGGAAGCCCACAGGCACCTGGCATCTAGGTGGCTCCCACATGCCAGTTCTCCTCTGCTGCCCTCATGGTGGGCAGGCACCCTGGTATGCCTCTGTCGGACAGGACAATGTGTGTTCAGTTCTACCTCCTGCTACCACCCTGCAATGAAGTGCCCCTCTGGGCTCTGCTCTGGATTGCAGAATGCTAGTTCCTGGGACACCTGAGCAGGGCTGCCCCAGTGACTTCCTGCCAGTTAATGGGTAACCCATTTTGTCTCCTGGATCTTCCAAGGGGAGGCAAGCCCCAGGCTACCAGCAGTTCTAGAAACTAGTGGACTGACTCCATCTAAGGGGCGCCCCAGGTTAAAGCTTGGAAGGAAAGGGGGCCTGAGTGCAAGCGGGGATACAACACTGCCCCTGAGCCTGACAGGAGGTGGAGTAGGGTCCCCGTGGCTGGTGGGCCACTGTATCTTCCTTTCCTTAGCTACCTTTCCACTCAACCTTAATGGGCAGGTCTCAAGCCATTCGGCCACCAGGCTGCCCAGCAGCCCCACTGGAGCTGTGCTAAGCAGAGGTCATCTGCTTAGGTGCTGAAGAGACAGATAACCCTGGATGATGGGCCCAGGCTGCTGCTTGTCTGATCTACTGCCCATGAACACCTTATAATATGGACAGTAATGTCATCCTCAGGGTGTGGGTAGGGAAATGGAGGCTCGGAGGAGGAATGTCACAGGGGCCCTCTGTGGGCCCCTGTGGGCCCTCTGGGGTGGGAAGGCAAGCAATCTGTTATAGAGGCCTCCGGCCCCAGAGCTGTGTCCATGTGCCCAAGTCTAGAGCTGGGCCCTGGTATAGCCTCCATCGCTACTTCCCTTCCTGTGGACCTTAAAGACCTGAGGGACTTTTTGGGAAACCTGGTCAGTTTCCCTATTCCTTCCTTGGCTCCCCATTTTCAGTCTTGGCCCCAGCACCTCCCCCACTCAGCTGTTTGACCCAGTGGGACCCTGGAGGGAGTCTTTGGGTCTAGAGAGAGAGGAGGGGAGAGCCTCAGGCTGCAGCTGAGAGTCTCTGGAAGGGGCAGGAAGGGGGTGGGGGTGGCTAGGCTGGCCTCCCCCCCTGCAGTTTTCAGACCTCAAGGAGTCACCACGAAATTCCATTCTCCTGACAGCAAAGAAATGGAATCACTCTTGCCAAAGCCCACGGCCCCCACAAAAATGCTATAAGGCTTTGTCCTGCTGTTCCCAGACAGGCAGCAGCACCCTGGTCCCCTATTCCCACCAAGTCTGGCTGCAGAGGCACAGGAAACCCTTAACCAGGCTCTGTGCCAGGCTGGCCAATCCCTGTCCTGCCCTCCCTCACTCCCTGGGTACAATGCTGTAGTCCTGTGGGCCTCACCTTGCTTTCTGTGCAATGGGAGCAGGGCTCCTCTTGTTTCATTTTTTGTCTGGCAGCAGGAGGCCAGTAGCCAGAGCTGTGTAGCATGAATCAGAGAAAGCAGGGGTGCTCTGGGGTACTGGGCAGGTAGCCCCCTGCTGGGCTGGGGACCATGGAAGGAGTGGTTCACAGGACCTTGACAGGTGAGGGTATGAAGTGGCATAGTTGCACGCTGTTCTTCGTTCTGCCTCTTACAGGGTGCTTGGCATCTATGAAGTACCCACTAACTATGGACGTCACTGGCCTGAATCCCAGGTGTGGAGCAAGCTTAGGAAAAGAACAGTGCTCAGGCTATAGGGGTGTGTGGAGGGAGTTTGGAGAGTGTCAGGAAACGGAGCTGGGACTGAGTCAAGGGCTATGTGACACAAGTCCAAGACTTGAACTCAGAGGCAATCGGGAGTCATGGAAGATTTCCATGCGGGGCTGTGCCTGGGTGGGGTGAGCTGTCTGGTTCTTGAGTGGAGAGTGAGCAGAGAGGTCGATTGGGAACAGGGAGAGCAGGGCAGAGGTTGCCCTAGAGATCCAGGGGTGAGATGAAGGCTGAGGAAGACTCTGGCTCCAAACAACCCAGGCATGGCACAGACGGTAGTTGATGGTAGGGAAAGGGATGTGGAAAAAAAGGAGTCCCTGGAGGCCTGAGGTTGGGGCTGGAGGAGGGCTCTGTTAACTGGGCAATACCAACCCAGTCATGGGGTGCTTTTCTCTCCTGCCCCCCCTCCCCCAACTGCTTACAGTCTCGGAGGCTGGGCTCTGGCTTATGGCTTATGGGGGAGGGGTTTATGGTAGGAGGTGACACCATGGGAGACTTGTCACTTGGGCACCGCCAACACCATCTGCTCAGGCATCTGCCTGCCCGAGGTGGCCCAGCTAATTACCTGGGGGTGGGAGCAGGAAGAGGTCTGGGAATCTCCATCCCCCACTCCTGTGCATCACAGAGGACCTAATGGTAGGGCCCCCCAGGTGCTAAGAGCAAACGGGCCACAGTCCCTTGGGTAGGAGTCTTAGCAGGACCAGACGTTTACGCAGTAAATCTCTATAGCTCACCTACTCTATTCTGGGCTCTGTTCTCTGGAAGTTGGCATTCAGGTGGAGGGAGCGGGCACCACGACGGGACGTGAGAACAGCTCAAAGTGCCATTTCGGGCAGAGTGGAAGCGCCGTGAAGACAGCAGGCCGCTGAGCAGTGAGCGCTGGGCGGAGGGCAGCGAACTCTCGGCGGCCCTGCCCAGGGCATGCCCTAGTCGCAGACCAGCCTGCAGGGGAAGGAGGAGCAGCCAAGCGGAGAGCCGCCCCCAGCTGCTCTACCGGAAGATGCTGCGGGCAGGGGGCTCGGACCTTGATCCCTCTCTGGAGGGGAGGCGGGTGGGGGCTTGGCCACTTCCTGGCTCCACGCCCCTCACTCTCAACCCAGACGGTCGACTCACATTCCTGCCGCCCCAGCTCGTGCTGGGGGACGGCCCGGCCCGTGGGAAGGGCCGGGGGTGGGGGCCGCGTGTGCCGGGGAGGCGGGGCGGGGCACAGCTGGGCTACATCTGGCCCCCGCGCTGAGGGACCAAATGGGACAGAAGGCGGCCTTTTATCCCGCGCGGGGAGGGGCGATCCTAGTTTGTTCTCACCACCGGGCGCCTGGAGGATTTTTGGGGACCAATTTTTCAAAGTCAGGCCGGGACTCAAGGAAATGTTTGCTCAGGGGTTGGGGTGGGATTTTGCACAGGGGTCTTCCTGCTGTACTTAGCACTGGCTCAGGTGGCTAAGCTCCTCCTCGATATTTATAATGGCAGCCTAGGTCCATCCAGGCACCGTCCAGTTACCCGACCCGCAAGCACCACTCCCGAGGGAGGAACCCGGCCTCGGGGAGAAGCGCACCGCGAGGGTGTAAGGACGCACCCCGCGGCCGCTAGAGCCTGAGGCTAGGGTACGGAAATCCCGGTCCTCGCGCCGAGGGCGCGCCCCTCCGCGTGCCAAGCCGGGTTATCCCCGCAGGGCCACCTGGGCAGGCAAGGCCCAAAGCCCCACGCCCCTAAGTTGCCCGCGGGGGGCGACCCGGGCCGGGAGGGGATTGCACGTGCGCACAGGGGGCGGGCCCCGGCGCCCGCCTGGCGGTTCCCAGACCCCCGCCGGGGCCCCACGTGGGTGCTGCCCCGCCAGGGGGCGATCTTCGAGAGGCCCCACCCCGGGGCGCAGGAGCCAGTGAACGCGCGACGGGGGCGCGGCCTAGCCATGGCCCCCGCCCCGAGGGCGGAGCCAGGACGGGGCGGTTTAAGAACGCCGGGCGCTGGCTTTGCACAGCTGGACCGCAAGGCCGGATTCTCCCCGAGCGCGAGCGCGGGTGTGCCGGGCAGGGCGCGCCGGGGCGGGGGCAACCCGGGCAGGGCGCATCGCGCGGCCGCTACTCCGCCATGCTCAAGCGCTGCGGTCGCCGCCTGCTGCTCGCGCTGGCGGGCGCGCTGCTCGCCTGCCTGCTGGTGCTCACCGCCGACCCGCCGCCGCCCCCGGTGCCCGCCGAGCGCGGCCGGCGCGCGCTGCGCAGTCTGGCGGGCTCCGCGGGGGCGGCCCCGGCGTCCGGGCTGGAGGCTGCAGAGGCGCCCCGGGCGCTCGTCCGCGAGGTGCACAGTCTGTCGGAGTACTTCAGCCTGCTGACGCGAGCGCGCAGGGAGGCGGGCCCACCACCCGGGGGCGCCCCCCGCCCCGCCGACGGCCCCCGGCGGCCCCCAGCCGAGCCGCTGGTGCCCCACGACGTCTTCATTGCCGTCAAGACCACCAGAAAGTTTCACCGCGCGCGCCTCGACCTGCTGCTGGAGACCTGGATCTCGCGCCACAAGGACATGGTGAGCCCCCGCGACCTGGACGTGCAGGGTGGGGTCACAGTCCTGTTCAGTATCCGACGGGCTGCTATTCTACGAAATCACTGGGAGTATCTGGGGGTGGTGACTCCTAACCATCCCCTTGCAGCCCTGTGTGCCAGGGAGGGCCACTTTCCTTATACAGTTGAGCTGTCAGTTGGGACAGTCCTCAGCCAACCCCCAGAGCCTGGAATGGCGCGCACGGACCCCACACCAGCTTCTACTGCTTGGGGTTGATACCCTGTGACGCTGCTTGCCCCCCAGTTATTGAAGCATATTCGTCGGGTGTTATCGCCTCCAAATCTCCTCAAGACAGAACTCATTGCATAGAGGGAGGTGGGGAGCCAGGATCGCTGAGGCGCAGAGCATGTCTCCTCCGTCCCAGTCTTTGCCTTGGGATGGGGGGACAAGTCATTACTGAATGAACTCTGGAATTGGGGATGGGTGTGGGTGGGTCTAGGGGAGTACCTCTCAAAAGAGAGCAGGAAGTTTCCTGGGCTGTGCAGAGACCCTCTCCCTACAGTGCAGGAGTCCCCGGGGACCTGAACCTGGTGCTTAATACACCCTAGTTGAGCATCGACTTCCTACACACACATAATAAAGACACACCCCACTTTGAAAATCTCCCTGGAGGCTGCAGTAGGACGGTTGGGTTGGGGCGGGACTGACTGGGGCAATGTGGGCCCTGTGGAGGGGGGGAGGGGCCTCGGGGACCCTCCCAGGGCTGGGAGATTCAAGGGATGAACTGGGCGTTTGTGGTGAGAGTGAAGGACCCTCAACTGGGGTTAAAGGGTGGGGGGAGGCTCAGAGAAGATCCCACACCTGTTACTCCCTCTTTCAATCCTAGTAATAGGGACCTTCTGAGCCCGGTTTTGGGGCAGGACCCTGGTGAGGTCATGATGGGGGTAGGGGGACAGAGTCTTAACTGGTATGAGAGTGGGGAGGGGGTGCCTGGGAACCTCATGGTAGCCTCCTGGGAACTTAGCGTCCCTTTCCCAGGGGCTCAGCGGGAGGGGGCCATGGGGGCCCAGGGTTTTGTTTGGCGGCTGGGCCGTTAGGATTCCCAGCGCCGGGCGGCTCTCACGCCGGCCCCTTGGGCAAGGTAACAAAGCCCCTTTCTCCAGCGGAGAAAAGCGTCCGGCCTCTTGTGTGCAGCTATGTGCTCCATGGGAACCGCCGCTGGGCCCTGGCCACTCAGGTTGCCTGGCGATGAGGGGGCCTCCCGGAGCCCCCCCATCCCTGACTGACAGCCCTTGTAGGGCACCATCCCTGAGCCAGGCACCTCCCCCTCCACTCTGCCTCCCTACTATGTGACTTTTGGCAGCATTCAGCCCCCCAGGTCTGAAGATGTCTCATCTTGGACTTAGGGGACTTTTCCCAGCAGAGGATATGTGGTGGTGGTGGTGGCAGTATCTCAACCAAGCTGGGTGATCTTGGGTGACACCTAGGATTCCACTGATCCTCAGTCTCTTCATCTCTGAAATGGGGGAAACTTGGCCTTCCTGATAGGGTGTTGTAAAAGCACTGGCAACACCTGGAGGTATGGAGAATGAGCCCAAAGAGCACTAGCAGTCACAGTGGGGCCATCACTTTTCTGGACCTTGAGCTCTCAGTTGAAAGGCCAGTGTTGCCTTCTCGCCTGTTGACCCCCACCCAGCAAGACCGAATCTGTCCTCAGAAGCAGTTCTGTGTCACAGCATACTGTGGAGCTGGGGTCTTGAAACTGTGGCAGCAGAGGGTCTTCCTTTCCCAACCCTGTGCAGGGTGATTCAGACCCAGTCTGATGGGGCAAATTCAGAGTTGTGGTGGGGGAAACCCAGAGAGGCTGTATGAACTGAGAAAGGACATCTGACCCACATGGAGGGGCAGGGAAGACTTCCTGGAGGAGGTGACACCCAAACTGAACTGAGGGTGGAAAAGGGCAGCTTGGGCATCATGGGGATTGTGTAAGAAACTTCCAGTCGTTGGAGTTGGGGGGAGTCAGCAGAGGCCACAATGTGATGGACCTTCAAGTCCCTGATGAAGAGCTGACCCATTTGCCCCCCATGTTCCTCCCTCACCGGGTCCAGGAGTGTGTTAGTCTGTAGCGATTGCCAGTGCTGCAGCCACAATTGTTGGGGAGAGCTTGGCATCCTGTGTTTCTTTGAATCGCAGCTCCAGGAACAATGCCGCTTCCTGTGGGTGTCCCCCCCCTGCCCTGGGCCAGCCCTGCCACCCTTGCTGCCCTGTTCTTCCTCTTCCAGTCCCCGGGGGAGGGGACCTCGGGAAGGGTCTTGGTGCCTGAAAGGGGCAGCAGGGCTGGACTAACCTCATCTCTGGCCCAGGGTATGACCACAGGTTGGGATTCATGCAACTCTTTGAACCTCAGTCTCCCCACTTGCACAATCGTGTAGGAATGGTGCCCAGCTGCCAGGACTGACTGGTAGATGTTCGAAGGAAAGGACTGGGGCTTTGCTCTGCGCACTCATGAGCTCTTGATATGCCCATTTGTACAGAGGGGGAAACTGAGGCTCAGAGCAGTGGGTGAGGTCCCTGTCTGGGTGGCCCATTCCCTCCTCCCCTGGTTGCTCTGTTGTGGGGAGGCCCAGCACCCCCACAACCTCACCCTCCCCAGCACTCCTCTGCAAAGAGTGTCTTGCTTTCCCCCAGCGGTACAAAGGTGACTTTAATCTCTATAGCCTCAGGCTGGGTTTTTAGGGCACCACCAAAGCGCGGGAGAACAGGCCTCGCTTGATCTCATTAAGAAAGCATTTTCTTTTTAATCCAGCGGCGGCAACTGCACGTCTGCACGGGCTGGCCTCAGCCTCCCACGGCATTCCTGGGCTGCGATGCTGAGGAGCGGGTGGGGGGCTGGGTGCGAGTCTGTGCGTGCGGGCGCCCTCGGGTGTCTGCTGGGCTCTGGAAGGAGGGGGTGCGTGAGCAGAGAAGGTGCAGATGGAGCCTGCCCACCCCTTCCCCCACCCCTAGCTCTGAGCTCTTGATCCTCAGATGTGGACCCACCTTGTGTGCCTGGGTCTGGGGTCAGGCTAGACAAAGCAGGGGATGCTCAGGTAGGAGTGGACATCCCAGGTAGATCCCCAGGTTGCTGGGTATGTGCTATCTTCAGGTTTGCAAATGCTGGATCTTTCCTTGGACCTATATGTACACTAAGGGAAACAGACCTGGTGGGCATGGAATTGGAGGTCTCCTGCTGTCTTTGCTCATAGCACTCCCCACTGGGCCCCAGGTTTTGCACTCAGTCATGCCAGGGTGTGCCAGGCGACACGCGCTGGGAGGGCCGGGCAGAGGAAGGAACATTCCTTCCCATGTGCCGACTGGCCCAGGCGGGCGCCGGCAGCGCCTGGCCCCGCCCCATTGGCCCCTTCCAAAGAGCGATCCTGGCAGTGTAGCTCTGTGCTGGCACAGGTGGAGCCTTGATGTGGCCTTGGGCAAGACCTGTCTGCTAGCCCGGGTTTCCTCTCCCCAGCTACGGGAGGGGCTGCTGGGCTGCAAGGGTGCAGGGGGCATTGCTCCGTGGGCTGGGGCACGTGTAGTTTCCTGTCTCAGCCCTGATGACCGGTGGCTTCTTAGAATAGCAGTGTGGCTGCTTTGGCTCAGAGAAGGTGATCTGCCCAGCTGGTCACATAGCTGGGAGCGCAGGGGGCCGCTTGATGGTCCAGTGCTGAGGACCGCGGGGCTGTGGCTGCACCCCTGCCCACTGGACCTTGCACCCAGCCCGGCCCAGTTAACCAGGCCAGCTGTATGGTAATGGGCAGCTCGGCTATTCCTGCTTAACGCGGCCGAGTTAAGGCCAGCCCTGAGCCCCTCGCCTTGCCGCCCAGGACAAAGCTGGCGGACAATGCCTGGTGATTCATCCTCCCTCCGGGCTCTTTGTCCGCCAGGGTTTGGCAGCCGCCCAGCAGAGGCCTTTGTCCCTGACTGATTGAGACTTGGCTTCCCAAAGCCGACCTCCTCTGCCTGTCCCCCCCACCGGCCTCTGCCCCCTCCCGCAGGCTGTGTCAATAAGGGTGTGTGCTCTGCCAGGTGCGCTGGGCGGGCCGGGAGCCGGTTACCTGGCGGGTGGGCGGGGCGCCCCACCTGGCTCGTGCCGGCACTGCCGCCGGGCGACCTTGAGCCCAGCTGTCTAGGTGGGGGGTGGGGTCTGCTTGAGCCCCAGCCCAGCTTCCACTCAGGCTGGGCATTTGAGGCCTACTCTGCACATGGGGACAGTGAGGTACAGGAAAGGGTAGGGACTGAGTGTGACTGCGCCGAGGCTGCTGGAACGCCAGGGTGCCCAGCCCTGGACCCCTGCAGTGGCCCGGGGTGGGGGACATAAAGCTGCCTGTTCAAGGCCATGTTTCTCCTTCCAGACGTTCATTTTCACCGACGGGGAAGATGAAGCCCTGGCCAGGCACACGGGTGAGCCCTGGACTTGGGGAGTGAGGGGCTCCATTCCTGGGAGGAACTCCTCCCTTCCGCCCTCCCCTCCTGAGGGGTCAGGAGGCCACTGGCCTAGCAGGGCAGTTTACTCAACTTGTTTGCTCCATGCCCCGCCCCACTACTCGCCCCCCCACCAATTCTCATGCTAATGAGGCCCTTTCAGCTCCCCAGGGCCCTTTGAGCTGATGTGACTGCAACAGGTGGCTGGTGCTGGGAAAAAGCTGCCTGAATGGGCAGGGGCTGGCTGGGCCGCCCTGGGAGGGGTTTGTGCTGGGGGTGGGGAATCACCAGACCCTGTGTCCTGCACTGGGAGGGAGTTGGAGGGTTGAGGAGGCCTCTTAGGGGCCCAGCTTGGACCCAAGGTGCCCTGGGACAGAAAGTCATCCCCACTATCTGGCTCTGCTTTCCTTGGCACTGTGGTGTGACCCCAGGCCATTGTACCCTCTCTGAACCAGTTCCTATCCACTGAGAGCCCATTTCTCTTATTTGCAGGCAACGTGGTCAATACTAACTGCTCAGCTGCCCACAGCCGCCAGGCTCTGTCCTGCAAGATGGCTGTGGAGTACGACCGCTTCATCGAGTCAGGGAGGAAGTGAGTGTTGGCCTTCCATGGGTACCCTTCCCTCCAGGTTCAGGCCTTGGTAGTACCTCCCCCTGGTCTGCCCGCCCTGATGCCCACCTTGCTCTCAGGTGGTTCTGCCACGTGGACGATGATAACTACGTCAACGTGCGGGCTTTGCTGCGACTGCTGGCTAGCTTCCCGCACACCCAGGACGTGTACATAGGCAAGCCCAGCCTGGACAGACCCATCCAGGCCACCGAGAGAGTCAGCGAGAACAAGATTGTGAGTTCTAGTCGCAGGCCCAGAGTGGGGAGGAGGCTGAAGGCGTCCTGCTGCGGAGGGTGGTGCCTGGAAGTCTCATGATACTCCCTGTTCTTGCAGCGTCCTGTCCACTTCTGGTTTGCCACTGGCGGGGCTGGCTTCTGCATCAGCCGCGGACTGGCCCTGAAGATGAGTCCGTGGGCCAGGTGAGTGCTCCGAGGAACAGGGGAGGTAGTTGGCCTTCTGAGGTCTAGCCCTCCCCACTCCCTCTACTGTGGGGCCTGGTTTGGTCACTTTCCAAGGGCAGGTGTCCTCACCCTCACATGCAAAATTGAGGGAGGGTTGAGTTGTGGTCCCATGACTGCCTGTGTCCTGCCTACCAGGCACCAGGGGTGGTTAGCTCCCAGGCCCAGGTACCATCGGCAGGATCCCTTCCTGTACTCAGAAACCCCGACTGGCAGAGAATCATCTGGCTGGTATGAAGGAGGGTGCCTGCTGGGGCTCAGGGAGGGAGGGAGCTGCTGGGTGAACCCCATTGGGGGACACATGTGGTCTACACCCCACTCCACGAGTATGTTGGCCTCCTCTTTCTGTGCCATGTTCTGCCTGGCGGGCTCCTGCCCAGCTCCTGCCTCCGCTCACTGTCGGCCCTTCCCCTCTGCAGCGGCGGTCACTTCATGAACACGGCTGAGCGGATCCGGCTGCCGGATGACTGCACCATCGGCTACATTGTCGAGGCGCTGCTGGGTGTGCCCCTCATCCGGAGCGGTCTCTTCCACTCGCACCTGGAGAACCTGCAGCAGGTGCCTACCTCTGAGCTCCGTGAGCAGGTGTGGCTCCCTGCTGGGGAGGGAGGGACTGTAACCAGCACAGGAAGGCACAGACTCAAGTAGGGTGGGAGGAAGGGTCAGTTTTAAAGCTGGATGTTGGGAAGGAAACCCTCTCCTGTTACCCTCATCTGCTGCTACCCTCCTGAAGCCCTCTTCTGCTACCCAGATGCCCACAACCCCCTCCCCACACCCTTCCTGTCCTATCTTCATTGTGACACACCTGCTCTGTGCCTTTTGGGTCGGTAGACGCTCTCTTGCCTATAGCAAGACACTCTCTTGGCCCCAGCTGAATCTCCCACTTAGGACTTTATTCCTGGGAGGGGTGTGGGGGTGGTGGGGACCATTAGACTTTCCTCCTTGTTCCAAGGGAGGGCAAAAGGCAAGGCAGCTGCAAGTGTCCAAGAGCCACATGGCCAATCTTGGACAGAGCTGGGGGATGCATTGGGGCCCCTCCCAGCACCACTCTGCCCTCTTCTTACAGGTGACCCTGAGCTATGGCATGTTTGAAAACAAGCGGAATGCCATCCACATGAAGGGACCCTTTTCTGTGGAGGCTGACCCATCCAGGTAAATAAACTGAGGACTGGATGGGGGTGGAGCTTATGTCAGGTGCTTGGGGAGCTGGCAGTCACAAAATAGCATGACAAGCATGTCCAGCGTGGAGTAGGCCCCTTTACCGGTGCTGTGGGTGCTCAGTAGCCCTAACCACATGGATTAATCCCTCACTTTGTCCCCACAGGTTCCGTTCCATCCACTGCCACCTGTACCCGGACACACCCTGGTGTCCCCGAACTGCCATCTTCTAGTAGCTGTGGCTGAGACCCTGTCTCTGGGCGCCCCTGGTATCCAAAGGGCCCAGGGACCCTGTTGTGCTGCCCTGGCCTTGGCATTCGAGGCTCCCCCAGGGCTGTGCCACGCACATGTATTTAGTGTCCCTGTCCGTGTAGCAGACTGCTGGGCAGTTCTGCTCTGCTGAGGAGCAGTCACAAGTGCCACTTGTCTGCCTTTCCTAGCTCTTCAGGTCTGCGGGCTCCAGAGCCCATGTCCGGAAGGATCTGTGCATCAGAGGTGGCTCTGAGGGCAGTTTTACTGTTATTACTTTGAGGTCTTTGGGCTGCTCTGCAGGATGTGCAGGTGTCTTTACACTCCTGCTGCTCACAGACTCTGTGCTGGGGCCCCTGCACCCTGAGATCCTGACTCTTGCCTCAGAACCCAAACCCCAAGGATAGCTGGGCCATGCTCAGTACAAGAAAAATGGGTTTTGGGGTGAGTGGCTTGGGTCTCCTTCTCCCCCTGAGCTGTAGGCTGGGCACTCTGTGGCTCTGAGTAATAGCAGCCACTGTCTGGGCCCAGGGCCCCATTAAGTCTCCAGTGGCCATGTGGCTGGGGGAATAATGACTTCCTTCCCTGCCCTCCTGGGTCGTGGGGGGGGGGCGGGGTGTCTTCCCTTTGTCTCCTCTTATTGGGGAGTCAGAGCTAAGCATTTTATCTCCTCTCCAAAGTAGAGAGAAAGTCACCCATAGTGGGTGTGTCTGTAAATATTGTGACAGTATTTTTTTACTGTGCTTGTTTTTCTAAAGGGGGTGGGCAAAAAGTAGGGTGTATTTGTTTTTGGGGGGGTAGGGGAGGGTGTTATTTTATCTTTTCTGTGGATCAGAAAAAGCAGAAACCAAACTTGGGATAATCTTTGTTTTTAAAGCTGATGGAAATGTCTGATACTTTATGTATTTATGTGTCCCAACATCTGGATTCTCCCTGCCCTCCTCCTGCATATTCCTGTCTCCTGGGGCCCAGTTTGCTCACCTGGCCTCCAAGCTGCGTTGTGTCTTCTGTTTTTCTTTCTGCAAATACTTAGCTAGGGAAGCAAGCGATAAGGGAAAATTTCTCAGGGAATTGATGTGTGGTTGCTATGGTGACATCCTTTGCTGTGAATAAAGGTGCTTTGGGGCAACCTGGGGGTTCTGGTCTTGGTTAGATGCTGGGCCTGAGCTGCAGGTCCAAAGAAGTGTCTGCATTTGGGATGGGAGCTCAGTCCTGTTTCCCTTGCCACGGTGGGAAATGGTGCAGAACCCTCTGAGCCAACTATTATAGAAGAAAACTTGGGATCTTGCAGGTGCCTGAAAGGTGTGGTCAACCCAGGACACCTATGATGTAGTCAGGGGGTTACCAGATCCCCAGTTTCTACCCAGGAGAACAACTCCCAGACTCTGGTACCCCTGCCTGATCTGAATCTACTGCCTGGGTGTCTGTTGCTCTTTGACCTGGCCTGAAACGTCTTTTTCCTCACTCCATTCCCATCACAAACCCTCAGAGGCCACAACCTTGTCCCATTTTGCACATGGGGACACTGAGGCTCAGTGTAGGTGATCCCCAAGCCCAGGCAGCTGGGCTGGTAGGGTGGTAAAATGCTCAACCTCAGGATAGTCTGGCCTTGGATTCCAGCCTCCTCTCCCTCCCTTGTTTGGGGAGGTTAGGGGAGTCCCATGGGGCTGCCCCATTGGGTCTCCAGCCCTCACCTGGATCTATCTCAGGGGTGTTGGCCAGGATTTAGACTCTCTTTTTTTTCTTCAGAAAGTAGCTTCTTGGCCCTTTCTTCTTGAAATGCAGCCTTTGGGGGTGGGGGGCAGGGCTGCACTAGCCTCCATCTGGGGAATTCCCTCCTCACCCCGCTCCTGGCAGCTGGGGCAGCCTTCACTTCCTCTTCCTCCAAATGAGACACCTCCCTGCCCCCCTGCAGGTCCTTGCTCTGTGGCCTGAGCTCCTGGTTCCCTGTGACTGCCACACACTCCTGTCTTCCCCCAACTCTGATGCAAGCTCATCCTTATCAAAACATCAGAAGGCAGGTGGGCTTTGAGACGTATGTCCCCCCACTTGCTGAGGACAGCATGCCAGCCCTCTTCCTCCCAGACACATGCTCACATAACACCCCCAAACAGGCTGGGGAGGGTCCTTCCCTAGCCCATGCCGGTGGCTGTCCTGGCCGGGGTGGGGGTGTGTGTGTGACTGATTGGGGTCTGACCTCTTGTCATAGACAGCCCTGAGTCAGCAAGTGTGGTTTCCAGAACACCCAGAAGCTTTCCAGGCAAGGCCTAGGGTGGTGGGAAGGAAGATAGCCAAACCTATACTTGGGGGTGCCCCCAGTCTCAGCACCCCCTGTGTGCCAGGTGGGTGGAGGTGGTGACTGCATGTCATTGGGCGGCACCAGGCCCTGTGCTACAGACTAGGAAACCAAAAGTGTACTTGTGTGTGGGTGTCCGAGCAGAACCGCTGCTATGCAGTAGCCTTCCCGCCTCAGTGAGTAACAGCTCCTGACTTGGCGGGTAGAGACCCAGGGCCCCAGCACTACCTCCCACAGCTGCCACAGCCTCTTGGCAGAGCTGGCACCTGGCCTGAGGGTAGAGGTGTGGCTCTGTGGCCCCCATGGGGCTATTGGTAGATCGTAGCACTTGGTCTAAACACTGTAGGGGCTGGGGCACCAAATGGAGATGCCAGGGCAGGTGGGGAGGACCACCGTCTGAGAAATGGGGATAAATGTAGTCAGGGGCCTGGCCGCGGCCTGGGAGGAGTCCACAGGCCCTTTCCTCTTCTAAACAAGCAGCTGAGGGAGGAAGGGAAGTTTCTCCTTCCTCAGAAGGGAAGCGGGCGCAGGAGAGGCCTTACAGGAACTGGGCAGCCTGATTTCTTCCATCCGCAGCCCTCAGGGGTGTGAGGAAGGGGCCCTCCCCTCAGAAGATGAGTCACTGTGACCTCACTTCTCCTTGAGACAAGTGTGGGGTAGTGACGGGCCCCACCCTTGGTGGCAACAATACCCCACACATTGGGTTAGTGGCTGGTGGGAGACATTCCTGGCTGGCCCACGGGGCTCCACATCCCCTAGCCTGGCTCAGTCTGGCTCCTCCCAAACTGCTGGTAGTTTGTGGACTTTCAAAGCCATAGGGGCTGTTGGGGTCTCAGTGGGGTCCAGCTCCCTGAGTGTCTGGGGAGCCCACTAGAGCGGGGTTTGGGAGGGGCCAGAAAGGGTGCAGGGTGGGCCCCTGCATACTCATTTGAAACAACTTCCCTTCCACTGGGGCCATGCCCAGAAGACGGACTTCCCCAGAAAAAGTGTGTCTGAGCTGGAGGAAGGCTTTGTAGAGGAAGGGTAGGGAGAGCTCCAGATATCTGACAGTTGAGGGGGAAGGTGGGGTTGGGAGTCTTTGAAAGAAGGTGCAGAAGTGGGGCACGTTCTACTGGAAGGTTGAGGGGTCAGTTGAGACTCCACAACCCTCCCCCATGGGCCCCACTAGCAGTAGGTAGCCAGGGCTTTCCATAGGCCCCTCCCAAGCGCCAGGTGTGTGTGTGTTGGGGGGTTGGGGGTTGGGGGGGTGGGGGATGGGAGTGGGGATGGGTGGGGGCGTGTTGTGGGGGGAGGCAGACTCTTGCTGTAGCGCCAGTCAATGTTGCCTTCTGGGCCAGGAGTCAGAAAGGAAGTGGGTGACCTGAGTCAGCTTCATCTTTTTGTTAGATTAACTGGTAAATCCTGCTGCCACCCAGGCCTGTCTGCCATGCTGGCCTTGGAAATGTTCTTGGAGGGGACGCCCTCTCCAAACCCTTACTGACGCCAGGGCTGCACACACAGAATGTGGTACATCTCTAGGAGGGACCCAGGCACCTAGGAGCTGCGCACCCCCGACCCTGAAGGCTGCCTCGAAATCACCACACCGAGTTGGAGGCTCAGAGCAATGGCGGCTTCCTCCTTACGCCCCCTACTGCCCCAGCCAGGCCTCTCGGCCTCCTCCACCCGCTGTGGTCCTTGGGCGCCGGCTGCTGGTGAGAGCTGGTGCTTCCCGCCCCCCACTCCCCACCCCGCACAAATCCACCTTTCCCGGACCCCGCCCAGGGATGTGCGCAGGGATGCGGCACCGTCGCTGCAGCCTCGTGCTAGCTCTTTACAATTCACGTCATGGATCTTAAAGTTATTACTGAGGGTTGGTTCATGCTTTATGTATAATGTCAAGAAGCAAGCTTGAGCTGGCTGCGGCAGGCCATCCTAGGTCACCCCCACTGCTGTCCCGCCCCCTGGCCCTGGTGTGGGGCTCGACACTTCATCTCCTCAAGATCCTGCCCGGAGGATCCTCCTCAAGATCCTCCTCAAGATCCTGCGACGTCCCCGACCCCCCACTGCAGCCGAGTGACAACTCACTTCCTGCGCTAACTTTGTGGTTGCAGCCAGCCAACACTGGGAACGTGCTGGGAATGCCGATTCTGGGGCCAACTCCCCAGGCTAGGTCACCTGACTCAGCGCCCCAGTCTCTTCGTTCTCTGAGGACCCAGCGCCCCCTGCTGGGACTTGCCTTCATCTGACCCAACTTCGGGAGATGCTCTGATTGCCACTTCTAGACCCTCTCCCTGCTGACCACCCACATCCCCCCACCGCGCCATGGATCACACCATCTGCTGCCCCCTGATTGTGGGGAGCCACAGGGCACCTCCTGGGGGATATTTCACTGCCACTTTCTCCCACACAACTCCCGTGTCCAGTCCTGGGACTTCTGGTGTCCTTTTTTTTTTTTTTTTTAAGATTTTTATTTATGCATAGAGGAACTGGGGTACAGGCCAGAGGTGGGGGGGTAGGTGAGAGGATTCACCAGAGATAGAGTGGGGAACAGAACAGGCAGATGGACTGAAATACACTGCTGAAGGGAGGAGTGTGTAGACAGGAGGGGTCTGCTGCGCCATGTGGGTTGCTCCCTGGCCGACTGCAGATCAAACTCGTTCTGCAGAGGCTGTGGATAGCTTCACAGTGCTGTGCTTAACTCCTTGTGCCACCAAGGAGGCCTTACTTTTTGTGTCTTGGCACTTCCAAAATCCTTGGCCTTCCTTCTATTTTTTCCTCAGCTCCAAATTCATGGTACCTCCCCAGATCTTCCCTGCCCCAGGGCAGCAGAACTCAGGATAGTTCATTTCTTCTCTGTCCAGCTTACTGCCTCCAATTTTCTGACCTCCCCACCTTCTCACACTGCTTGAAGGCTTATTCTAACCTGACTGAAATCCCCAGTGTGTCATGCCCTTGAATTCACCCTATATAAATAATAGATATATATTATTCATGTTTCCATGGTCTCAAGTCTCAGTGCTACCCATGAGAATGCCTTTAGATGCACACAGTGTAAAGAAGAGCTTAGGGTGGCGTGGGTGCCCTGAGTGCCAGGAGCACTGGGTGATATGGGTGGAGTGATATGGTATGGGTGATATAATATGGGTGATCAGAGCAGAGGCTGATATGGGTGGAGTATTGGCCACTTGAGTCCTAACTCCCCTAGACCTCATTATTCATCTGGAAAAACAGGATGGCCCCATCCTGCCCACTTCAGAGGGCAGCTGTGGGATATCAGTTGGGGCAGAGTCCAGCTGTTCCTTGAATAACACACATTTGGACTGCACAGGCCCACTCATCTATTGACTCAGCGTGTGCCAAATTTACTCCATCCCAGGTTCCACATGGCTAGGGTCCTCCTACCCCCATGAAACTCCTCATCTAGTTGCTAGGCAGGTGCCATATTTTCATCCTATCCTAACCCTTAATCCCTAACCCTAACACTGACTCTAGTGCCAGCATGCACAGGGCAGGTTCACTATGGATTTGGGCAGACAGATGAGTCCAGGAGTTTTCAGTGCATTTCACAGGCTTTCATGCTCTCTCAGGGAACCAGGTACACAGGTGCACCAGGCAGGGAGGCTGGCATGTAAGGAGGTAGGCACAGGTGGGTCAGGGGGTGGCTGGGAGGCAGTCAGGCAGCACCCCCCACAAGAATCTTTACACTTTTTCTGGGTTCTCTCATGGTCTCGCCTCTTCTGTAGTCATTCATCCTCCTATAGCCACCCTTTGTCTCTGAGTGATGTCGCTTTTATATTCCTGGCCTCTAGGCTCAGGTGTGCACACTTACACATGCATGCACCCATGCTCCAGATGTCTACAATGAGGCACATGGGCCTCGCGCCCACACTCTCAAGCACCTTCTGCAGCAACACAATCAAGGCCACAGGTGATAACCATAGAGGCTAGTGATGAAAAAAACCTGATCAATCCATTTACCTTACACTGACCCTAAACCTGATCCTTCACCCCTAACCACTGAGCCTGACCCCTACCCACTAACCCTAACCCTGACCCCTAATATTGAACCAGAATCGCTAAACCTAACCTGAACCCTGAAATATAACCTTAGTTTAAGGGAATTCACCTGCTTTATTTTCCCATAGATGCATCTATTTGGAGATTTATGAAGAATGACTCCCAGAAGCTGGAGAAATGAGTATTTTTTTAATTACACGTGCAATATAGAGATCTCATTTTAGATTGAACGTAACTGTGGGGCACAGAGGCCAGAGTTTGATAAAATTCTCCACTTAACAGCAAAGTTTTACTAAAAGTTACTAAGTCAGTATTATGTGCTTACAAGATACCAAATTGAGTTTGCCTACTCTTCTCAAAGTGGTGGAATAAGAAAAGGGTTCCAACAGTCACCTGCAGTGACTGCTCACATCAGGCACTGGGTTTTCATTTAGAATGGAGTGAAACAAAGCAACAGAATTTTCAGAGGATTTTCTCTTTAAACAACATTAAAGTGCTGTTTTGATGAGGTGATGCCTACTTTTCACCAGTAGGTGGCACTGGGAGTTAAAAAGTTACAGAACAAACTGGTAAATTGAAGTTTTTCCTTTTGGGGGAACATGATTTTATTTTTATTTTATTTTTATTTTGTATATTCTTACATCATTTTTCATTTTTGCACAATGTATGCATTTTCATCTTGGTTATATTCCCCACACAATTGCACCACCTCCCCCCTTATTTTGACCCCAAACCCTCCCCTCCCCTCCGCCCCCCCCCCACAGTGTGTCTCTGGTTTATAGTTGTTTGTTGATTTTGATTTTTTCTTTATTATAGTTATTCTTTTCCCCGGTCCCTTATTTAGGTTTTCTAAATTCCTGCTATGAGTGAGACCATCCAGTATTTTTCTTTTTCTTTCTGACTTACTTTGCCGAGCATGATCCCTTCCAGCTCCATCCATGTTGCTGCAAATTGCATGAGTTTATCTTTTTTGAATGCTGAGTGATATTCCATGGTGTATATGTACCACATCTTCTTGATCCAGTCATCTATTTTTGGGCATTTGGGTTGTTTCCAAAGCTTAGCTATTGTAAACAGTGCTGCCATAAACATAGGGGTGCAGGTGCCCTTTTGAATTAATGTTTCTGTGTCCTTTGGGTAAAAACCTAGGAGTGGAATTGCTGGATCATATGGAAGCTCTATGTTTAGTAGGTTGAGGAATCTCCACACAGCTTTCCAATAGTGGTTGGACCAGTTTGCACTCCCACCAGCAGTGTAGGAGAGTTTGTTTTTCTCCACATCCTAGTCAACATTTGTTGTTGCTAGTTTTTTTAATATGTGCCATTCTCACTGGTGTAAGATGGCATCTCATTGTAGTTTTGATTTGCATTTCCCTGATGACAAGTGATGTTGAACATTTTTTCATATGCCTGTTGGCCATTTGCATTTCCTCTTTGGAGAAGTTTCTTTTTAGCTCTTCTGCCATTTTTTGACTGGATTATTTTCTTTGTTGTTGTTGAATCCATCAGCTCTTTGTAGATTTTTGTGATCAGTCCTTTATCACTAATGTTGTGTGCAAAAATGTTCTCCCAGTTGGTGGGGTTTCTCTTTGTTTGGGTTATTGTCTCTTTTGCTGTGCAGAAGCTCTTTAATTTGATGTAGTCCCAGCTGTTGATCTTTGCCTTCATTATCACTGCTTTGGGTGATGTGTCTGTAAAGATGTCTTTAATGTGCATATCATGTAGTGTTTCGCCTATATTTCCTTCTATGTATTTTATGGTTTCAGGTCTTATGTTTAGTTCTTTAATCCATTTTGAGTTGGTTTTTGTGCATGGTGTGAGGTAGTAGTCAAGCTTCATTCTTTTGCATGTTGCGACCCAGTTTTCCCAGCACCATTGATTGAACAAACTTTGCTCCAGTGCATATTCTTTTCTCCTTTGTCAAAGATTAGTTGACCATAAATCTGTGGGTTTGTTTCTGGGTGGAAAATGATTTATTTTCCTTGTTAAAAACCCGCTGGTATCAGACACCTCTTGTGTCTTGCCTCACATCTTCTCAGCCCACTTTTTTTCCACCAGCCGTTGCTCAGAC